CGCACAGAAAACAGACACAAGGCAGATCGACACGGAAGGTCTAGCCAAAGGCCACGATCAGGCACGCAGTCATGTGCTGCGATCAGACAGGCACACAGACGGGCAGGCAGGCAGACAGGCAGACAGGCAGACAAGAGAAGGCAAAGCAAAGGCACAGCAGCAACGTCGCGACGTCATGAAGCAATTAATCAATGCAGGCAAAATTCAAACCACGGACACAGAAGGCAGTCATCACGAACATGAACGGAAGCAGACCGACTGCTTGGGTTGCCCTTTTTCCACAGAATAAGATGGACCGTCAATTAGTATGTCGTTCCAGTGCCACAGTCGGCGCTCTGGAAATTGGCGAGCGACTCACTCTTGTCGCAGCAGCAACCGAGCTCTGTGGTTGTAGGGGTGAAGTTTGCCATGTCACAGCAACAGTGAACATAATCTCCGATACTCATGAGGTTCGAATAGTCGTACTGCACACAACACATTAAGCTGTGCTTCCATCGTGCCCTGTGTCTGCCGGTGCTTACCCCCATGTAATTGCAGACATCGCTGAACGTTTCGCACCCGATCTCGCCGTTATTCATTACGGCGCAGATCTCCGCTGTCGCATCTGAGGCCGAGGCAAACATGTGCATACAGAAATACACACATCCATTGATGTGCACTGTGTGGATTATTGAGGACCGGTACCCTGCATTGTGGGTGAGGAGTGGGTGGTCGGGGACAGGGAAACAGCCAGACATCACATCACATGACATGCAGGCAATTCAACCAACAGAACAACCTCTATCTGTTCTGCTCTGACTGACTCACATTGACCTTCCGTATCGCGTGCGTCACGTCGCCGGCCAGTCTCTGCAGGGCGGCCCGCTCGTCGGTGTCTTCGCTCGTGGCGTCTTCGCCTGCAGAGGAGGTCCTCCGGGTGGTGCTACTGCAGGAAATGAATCATCCATCCATCCATCACGCGCGTAAGACACACATGCTTTCATCGTGCTGGCTAACTGCGTGTCTTCCGTCATCCCCTAGGTTGGTTGGTTGCTTACTAAGTGCCGCACAGGGCGCTTTGGAAGTTGCCGAGCGAAAGACTCTCGTCGCAGCAGCACCCGATTTCGCCGCCAGAGTTGACGCCCGCGGGATCACAGCAACAGGATTGTCCCGCTGCGTTCCCGATGAGGTTGTCGTGGTCGTACGCTGTATGGGTGGGTGTGGTGGGTGGTGGGCAGCAGAGGCATCAAATCATGAGAGAATAGTGTATTGGTTGGTGTCTGTTGGTGTACCCATGTAATCACAGACGTCCGAGAACGTGTCGCACCCGATCTCGCCGTTGGCCATTTGCTCGCAGATCTCCGCTGTCGCATCTGAAGCCGAGACAAACATGTGCATCCATACACACATCCATACGCGTGGGCCACTGTGTGTATTGATGATCGATACCCTGCATTGGGTGGAAAGGCGGGAGAGGAAGGCAGCCCCACAGAACATCACGTCACATCATGTCACATCCAGGCAATTTAATCAACACACTAGCCTTTGTCTGGTCTGGTCTGCTGTCACTCAGTCACCTCGGCCTTCCGTTTTGCGTGCGTCACGTCGCCGGCCTCTCTGTCGGGGAGGGGAGCTACGACAATGGGATTTTCTTGACTGATCTCAGAGCTACCGCCAGCCACAGGTCGCGATCCGTCACCTGCACAACGCAAACAGCAAGCACACACGTAGACAGTGAGTCGTCTGTCCGTGTTCATGTGTACCATCTGTCGCTCGCATGAGGGTGCCACGGCCTTCATCTGCCCGAGCGAGCAAATTCTGGAGGTCAGCCAACAGTTCCTGGAGCATCTGCGGGTCGCCGGCATTGAGGCCATCGCCACCGCACACTGGGCTGAGGCCGCCAAAGAGAAGCAGGCAGGAAATGAAGGGCAGACAGAGCGCAACGCGAGCCATTCTCAATGCAGGGATAATGCGGGGGAGCGGCTGAGTGAGCTGAGAGAGTAGAAGGTGACAAGAGCGGATTGTGCACGTGCCAGGGTTTGTGTCCGTTCGGTTTCGTGAACAGCCTGTCCCCTCCGCAACGGAACGCAGCAGCACAGCAACGTTAAGATTCTGCGCGACCGACTGGTTACGTTTACATGTACGGGACCGTTATTTCAGATATCCATATGTCCTTGCTGTCGTGCTTGTTGGTGCTGTGCTGGGCCCTTGCCGTCTGCCAGCCCCTCCCTCGCACTTGGCGACCGATCGAGGGAGGGATAGACCAAGCCATGAGGTGGATCTCAGACGCATTAAGGCTGCAAGAGGGCAACAGGACCGACAGACCAGGTGAGCCAGTGCAGCGGGAGAGGACGATGGACAACAGCGCATATTGTGCGGTCTGTTGCCTTCAGGCTCACCACCACCGACAAGTGACAACGACCAGGCCCCCTGTCCAGGTGATTTGTGAGCAGGCAGCAAAAGCAAGGGCATCGTCGCAACGGACTTTGCTTTTCTTTCTTTCAGAGCCGCTTCTCCTTGAAGCAACCGAGCAATTGAAAACGGGAGACAACTGGCAATCTTCACTCAGGGTATGGGATGACGACATCAGTCCATTCGTTATTGTGGCACTTGACGCTGGGGAGAAAGGGACTGTCCAGCTCTACGTCCGAGATCAAACTGGCCCCGACTGGCCCCCTGGAGGTTTTTTATTCGAGTAAGTGGGGTGCATGATGGAAATGGTAAATAGCACGCTTCCTGGCAGTGATGCTTTCCCGGCTGTAGGAACATACTTCCTGCCGATGCTCCCTCTGATCACACGGCTGGGACGTACGAGTCAGTCGTTGTGGTCCTGACGGCAAATATCAAGGACGCCATTGACTTCCAGGTATCCTTAGATGAATCAATTGGAACAAGGGCCATTTAGCGCACACAATAACTCGCTAAGTGTTCTGTGGACTTTGCATTCTGTAGGTCGAGTGCGTGGATGGGCCTTGTGAATTTAAGCTGATTGCTTTTGAGCACACTGGCAATTGCGTACCAAGAGCAGTCGATGGAGAGGTACTTGGCGTGAACAAGACTATCGATCTGGAGACACTCCCGCTTTTCCCTCCTCCTCCAGCGCCCCCAGGAGGTCGTCTGCCAAGACCATGTCCAGGCAAGCGCAAGAAATGAAGAGCTGCGCACTATGATGTACGCCTACGTACCTGAGTGCTCATCAGGTCACCCTTCTGGTCCATTGAATGGCTCGTTGGGAGAGGGCGGCTTCAACAGGCTCGACAATATTGCTGGTCTTTTCCCTGCTTCTGGTCCTTTTCCTGCCCGCTATTTCATCGTTGCTCTGGATTCACTCATTACGGGCAACAGTGACTTGGAGGTGTTCGAGATCGATTCTGACGGATCAACAGGGTAAGGAAGCGGAACTCCTCATGAAATGGACTGAATGGTGCGTTCATGCAGGCTCATCACAGCGACCGAGGTCGTGAGTGATGATACGATAGACAGATATGAAGATGTAGTTGTTGTTGATGCAAGTGCTTTTAATCGCACTTTTTCTGCTGCAGTAACTAAGCCATGGCTTCAGTGCTCGCATTCAATGCTGTGCGTGGTCTTTTTGTTCAGGTGAAATGTATCACGGGTCCATGTGAATGGGTGCGCATCCAATGCCAACAAGCTGAACACATTCTTCTTACTCTCCGTTGTTTGTTTGACTTGCTTTTGCAGCAACTCATCACTTTCTATCATACTGGCAATTGCACGCCAACGCTGCCTCACGGCGTGATAGTGCCTGGAGTCAATACACAGATTGCCTTTGACCAACCTTTTCTCTCCCCTATATATATTTTTCCGCCTTCCTGACAGAGAAGTCATTTGCCATTGTCGCAGCTCTTTTTCCCCCACTCATTTGCGTGCATGACATTCTTGGCATAGTAAGTGGTCACATAATGCTGATTCGCTGTATTTCTGACGCTAGACAGAAGCGACGTTTCATGTAATGAATCCTTACGACTGATACAGTACGTATCAGCATGCAAGACTCACCAGTGTTCGTGCTTGCTGTAAAATCATTCCTGAAAAATACTGACACGGACTCGTACAAAGGCACACAGGTGCATCAATGGCACCTTTCATGTGAACTCAGTCAACTCAAAAAGGAAAGCCGTCACTTCATTCTCAAAATTGTAAGCGACATCTTATGCCAGAAGCCTACAAGACACGCCACACTTCACTACCCAAGCAAGACTCATCAGTCTTGATGCAAGCAACATTACACACACAACAACTGACACACACAAACGGGGCTGATCTGCTGACACACCAACTTTTCTTCACTCAAGTCCCTCCATCCAAGAGAGACACCATCCCGCTGTTTTTTTATCAAGTCAGTGAATCAGCGTACGAAGAAGGCAAAAAGGAATCTCGCCGTCGCCTCCTTCCACTTAATTGCCAGCTGCCTCCTTTGAGCTTTCGTCGGTCCCTTAATCTGCTGAGTCGCCTTACGTGTCGCATCGCTGCCGCATTGCCGGCTGCATCGGCAGAAGGGGAAAGTACAGACGAGCCGCCCTTGGACGTGTCGTTGATGGCGAGGCTTGATGGCCGTGGCGCCCTCTCCGGCAGCACTGATATGCATTCACGCACGCAGAAGAGACCAATCGCATTTTCATCTAATGTCTCCTCATGTGTCCCCCCCTTACTGCAATCAATGGCCACAGGGCAGAGGGCCTCCACTTTCGCCTTCTCTCCATCTGATCTCGCGAATTCCGCACTCAATGGCACAGTGCGAATCAGGTAGTGCTGAGTCGGCTGATAGAGATGGAAGTCATAAACGATCCCTATGATGCCCGTGTTCGACAGCTTGACAATCTCTCCTGCTTCGCTAGTGTTGCACGACAAAGTGAACATGGGAGGGGCGGTGAGGCTGCCGATGTTCACAGGGCCAGCGCCTGATGACACCACGGTCGCAATGGAATGGACAAGGTCGTCATCAACAGCCAGGGGGTCCCCATCTGCCATGAGCTGCAGCCGCTTGGAGCGTTGGCATTGGATCATCACTAAAGCATCCACACGCACACACATACACACAAGCAGGCAGGGTGACAACGAGACATGATATTCCTGGCATGCTCACCTTCATTGGTCTTGTTGCAGAAGCTAGCCAGACGTCCCAACAGTACAGCTGCATCCTGGATGAAGTTGCTGTTTACAGTCCTTGTACCAATTTGAGACAGCAACCTCAGTCCCAACTGATCATCACTCAATTGTGGAGCGCCAGCATCACGTCCGGGAGAGAATCGATATGCCTGAAGACAGGCCAACACACGAAAGAGAAAGAGCACGAGTATCGAGGGCACGCCATTTTGCAATCGGAACAACGGAACGCATCATTTACCCCATCAAAAGCCCTATCAGCAAGGTAAACGTCAAATAAAGCGAAATAAGCGTCTTCATCCGAACCTTCCGGAGCGGATACAATGTCCTTTGTCGATATCGTCGTTGAGAGATTTGCGTTGAAACATCTCTCGACCGTGGCATTTCCATGTTCAGCAAGACTCAGTAAAGTATACTCGATATCCATCAGTCTCACGCTCGAAGTGAGCAACGCCTCAGGAATGCCCAGCTGGAGACCTTCTGCGTTGTCCAAGCCGAAGAGCTTCGTGTTGACTTCATCCCCAAAACCGCCCCCTTGGAAGCTGTTCTGAAAGCCGACCGCCACTAGAAGAGTGCCTGTATCATTAAACGGATACCAGCAAGCCACTCAGATCCGCCTAGAGACTACTGCTTAGTTACCTTCGACGAAGACAATACTGCCTGCAGACGCACCAGAGAAAAGGACAGAGCGAAACGAGCTAGTGAAGTTTCTTTTCTGCTCATGTACCTGCGCATTCAGACGGCTCGGTTTGGTACACAGCTCCTTTAATGACAACATTTGCCAACGTTGACGGCTTAAAGAAGCCCTTTGTAAGCGATCCATTGAGTGCTGCTGGCTCATACTCAACCTTCAGTTGCACGCCAGTGCCCCTCGCCTGGTCGGGCTCACAGCTGTAGATCCTCTCATCGACGACAACCGTGCAGGTGGAGTCGTTATAGCCCTTTTTAATGCATCCCTCGCTTTCACGATACTCGAACATAGAGAGACATCCAAAAGAGTCTCGACGTGGGGCTGGCCGTTTGCCCCCTATGATAGTGTACAACGATTCCACGCTTATGAAATCGGCATCGAGGAGCTGGTAAGTCCCTGGCTGCACTGCCGTTGAGATGGCGACGGGCAGCCGTGGCTCGGGACACGCTGCGAAGCACTCAAAGCCAATCTTGCATGCCGTGTTGAGGATGACATCGTCGCTGGTCCGGTTGCCGTCGTCTTGCCTCTCGTAGACCAACACCGTCGCGTCGACTTGTCTCTGCTCAGTCTGATTAGCCCCCATGCAGTTGTGCTGTGAGAGATTGGCAACAACGCCTTCATCTCTGAGTGACGTAGTGGACCCGTCTGTCTCTTCGATCAGCACATCGACAAAGACGGTGTCTCCGAGGGTACCGAACTCAGGATCGACTCCAACAGCAGCGATCGATCCAGCCTCGAGGCCGCCAGGGAATACATAAGGCTTGCTGAAGCCAGCTGGGAGAGTCTGGAGCACAAGGCCTCGGCAATCGACATAAACTAACCATCAAGCAAAGACAATGTGACCACAGATGCATGGAACTAGAAAACGTGCTTTCCTTCTCTCACCGCCTGCCTCTTGGTCCAACAAGTAGGTCAGTCGCCCCTTGAGGATGAGATCGAGAGAGCTGCCCGTCTCCAAGTTTTCCAATTTGAATGTCAGCGGCAGAACCGTCACATTCTCGGCACACAAGATCTGGACAAAGCTGAGAGTGGGACCGGTTGTTTGTAACTTATCGAGTCGGTCTTTCCACAAGAAGATCTTCGACCGTGTATCATTGACGCCGAACTCGTCAGCGATCTCTCTGGGCTCAAATACCCTGATCACCGAGAAGCGTGCCACCGTCCGCGCGTTGAAGAGTGGAAAAGCGGGGCTTTGGCCTGTCTTGAACAGCGGAAACCACAGTGATGGCGCCTCAATGCCGACCAAAGCACGAGAAGGGTCCGCACCAATCGCCACTTGCTCAGCCACGAGCCGCTCCTGCTCTGCGGGAATTCGATCCTCAGCAGCCGCCACGCGACAGGCCCTGTTGAAATCTTCGGCAGACTTGCCAGAGCCCTCCTCAACTTCAAACACTTTCTGCATACAACAGACAAAATCGGAAAGCGGACCAGAATCGTGCTGTCTCTCGCTTCTACGTGTTTACCTTTGAGACTACATTATCATTCTGATCGTAGCTAAATCCGGATGCAGTGGCCGCGATGACACCGCCTGCCGCCACGTCGCCCGATGTGATGGTGAAGATACGCTGGTTGAGCAAAGAGGGGCAGCCGGAAGGCACCGCGGTGGGGAAGGTGAGGAGCCCCAAGGGAGAGCTGGCGGCTGGACTGACCAGAGCAATACCCCGTGTGGTGATGAGCTCTGTCTCTTCTCCTTCGCCAAAGAGAGTGATGCGCTGCTCTCCTGTGTAGTTGGCAAAGCGAGCTCGAGCGGATATCGCCTCATCGACCAACCCAGTGCTGCACACAGAACAGAGACGCAGGCCAGAGAGCCACACAGTGAGTGTCACGCGTGCCTCTGGACGGATGGCATTCACCCTGTAAGCTCGATCTGCGCATCGAGGCCGATACACTCGGCTTCGCTGGCGTCGACCACCTTCAACACACCCTGAATGACAAGCTGATCGACGCACAGAAACCAGGCGAGCCATGATGCATTGTCACCCATCTCTTTCCTCCATCGATGCCTCCCACTTACTAGTGCCGGTGAGAACTCGTTGCCCTCTCGCACCGAGCAGAGACCGACGTGGGGACAATCAAATGACAGGATGGCAGACACTCCCTCTGTGGTGCTGCACGATAGGTCGATGAAGAAGTCCTCATGGGAGCCCCCCGCCCTTCCCTGAATGCGCATACAGCTGTCCGTGTCGCCCACATTTTCAATCTCTGTCGCCCAGGCCTCCGACTTGATGTCTTTGACCAGATAAGTGCCCGGCACGAGCTGTGAGAAGCTCTTCGGGTCGTTGTTGTGGTCGCCAATGGCCAGCGACGCGGGATCGACGCCACTCGTCTCGGCGATCTCGACGACCTCCAGAGCATTGTAGCAGTCGAGGTTGGGGGCGAAGGGATTGACTGAGTTGGTGCATGGGTCAAGAGAAGGCGGGGAGCACAGAGACGATGGCTGGCCTTGCAAGACGCCGCGGACCAACGATGGCGTGCCCTCGGGCTCACGACTGAGCGCACCGTACAGACCTGCTTGAACAATAGCAGACAGACGATTGTGTATCATGGGCACAGCACTGGGCTCTTCGTGCCTGTTTCTTCGGCCAAGCAGAAGCAAAAGCGTCGGTCGCTGGAGCGTGCACAGATTGGCTTGTCGGGCGGGCACTGCGAAAGCGCCGCCGAGCCACTATGGCCATCCACAGCACCGCATAGAATACTCTGTCCATTCGAAGAGGCGCTCACGGGAGCACCGAGGGTTCTGTTCTGTGCAACTTGCAGCCGTCTCGTGAGGTCGGCCTCTGCAAAGGAAAGGGACGGACACACAGAAGGCGACAGATGTTGGTGAATGGCTGAATGAAACGTTGCGTGATTCCCCCACCAGCCACACACTGCCCGAAAGCCCTCTCTTGGCCCTGGCCGTCTGTGAAGTATAGAAAGGGGTTCGGTTCACACGTGGACAGCCGCAGGCCAGCCGGCGGGACCTCTGCAATGACACGATGCAACAGCAGTATCAGTTTTCTACTCTGGGCTAGGGTAAGTGAGTCAGATCGCGAAACGTACCGGGAAGGCAGTCAGCCGCTGCTGTGGTGACGCCGTCTGCTGATCGGTTGTTGTTGAACACGCAGGCCGCCGTGAACTGCGCGTCGACGGCTAAGCGAACAGGCGGCCATGCGAGCAGAAATGCGAAGAGGGATCTGGTGAGTCGTGAGGAATGTCGGCTGGGATGGACTCGGCATGACAGAGGATGCATAGATACTCGCGACGGACTACAAATGACTGTAAGTTCTTCCCCAAAATAACTAGGCTTGCTCTCAGGGCGTGGCTTGCAGTGTCGTTAACGCCTCCCTTCTCTCATTGTGTGTGGACAGTGGCACGACTGCAGATTTGGACTTCTTTCGGCTTCTCCAGTCGTCCGATGAGCATAGGAGGCTTACAGTGTACGTGTGTCTGAGTGTCTGTCTGCATGTCTGTTTGCTTGTCAGGTGTGTTGGCAGAGGAGTTGAGGAGTGTGTTGCTCGAGGTGGTGTTCGAGAGCAGTGTGGACAGGGGGGACGACAAGGCGCTGTACGTCAACCTGCCGGCCATGCTCTACAAGACCATGCACGCCACGCAGCACGTGGCACGCAAGATGGAGGCGCACGACAGCCGGGCGGACGACGCACAGGCAGCCATAAGCGAGATCAGGCAGGAGCTAGCCGAGCTGACAAGGGATGTCAGAGAGATGAAGGCGCTGGTGAGTGCCGCTGTGGCCGATCGATATGAGCAGAGGGAGGGGCGGGCGGGAGGCGGCCAGGGGGATGTTGGGCCGCCTCTAGTCGATGCGCTTCAAGACTTGATTCCCCGCATGGGGAGGGACGACTAATTAGAACGAAATGTGACGTGATCTCATGCCTTTGTTGATAGAGACCGGTAGGTGCCTTCTATTTGTTTGTGTGCGTGTGGCTGACCAGAGTGTTGAATCGACTGCTGTCTATGTTCTTCTTCTCGGTGAATCGCTCGTGTCACGTGGGCACACACACGGCGCACACGGGCGGTCATCGATTCACAGACAG